CAAATGCAGTCAGTGTTAGTGAAATAGAAGCATTGTATGAACTGTTTAAGAAGATTAGCAGCGCTGTGATTGATGATGGGCTCATCAACAAGGTAACAAATGTTATCTATTCAGCTATTAGTTAAGTTTAGTTAATTAGTTACTTTATTTCTTTTCATCCACATATCAGTATTATAAATTACATTTTCCCTGTGATTTTTATCTCGTCTCTGGTTCAGTTACTGAATCTTTATCTTGTACTTGCTACTTTCTTCATTTTCAGGAAGAGTTCCAGCTAGCATTATTTAAGACGAACAAAAAGGAGAGCTTGTTTGCTGATAGGGTTAGTTTTCACATGCCATCCAAAGTAGTTGATACATCCAATGTCTGTCTTTAAAGCCCTCGCATTGTGACTTTATCTTCACCACACCACATTCTAAGCTGCATACATGATTGACTGGGTGTCTGTCTCTAATTGAGCCATTGAACATTTTGGAAGTCTGAGGAGGTCATGCATTTGCTCTCTTGTAACCATGTTATTCAATGGGTGTGTTTCCCTGTTGAGTTTTTGATAATCATGTTGCAGGAAAGCATTTCTTATTGCTATTTATCTCAAAATCTCTTTACATTCCAGGTATTCGACTTGTTCGACAAAAAGCACAATGGGTTATTGGACTTTGACGAGTTTGCGCGTGCTCTTTCAGTCTTTCACCCCAATGCTCCCATTGATGATAAAATTGATTGTAAGTGCCATCCTTTCATTGCTATTATTTCCCCTATACCATTTTTGCTTGTCTTTCTATTTTCTTAAATTTTTTGCTTGTAAAATAACATAGAATGCCAGTGTTTTTAATTTTCTATTTATGCAATTTGGTTTATTTTTTCATTTTTCATTTTTTCATGATTTTTGTTTTGAGTTGGGGGTGGGGTGGGGTGGGGTGGGGGGCTGGTCGAAGGTGTTAGAAAGATGTACATTAACCAAAATGATGCATCTCATATGAATGCACCTTCACTATAACATCAGGGAATCTTGGCAATTGTTTTGTATCTTAAGTGTGTTTGAATCCGACCAGCTGTTAGTCTTTCCAACCTGGAATTACATCATTGATGTTAATTTTGCTTCTAGCTGGTGATACTAACCTTTTCCTTTGCAGTTTCATTCCAGTTATATGATCTCAAGCAGCAAGGATTCATTGAAAGACAGGAGGTAAATTTTAAAATTGACAGAGTCCATTTTTGAATATTATGTTCACGCTTCACTGTAGTTTTTGTTTTAAATATGAGGATGATTTTACTTTTAAAAGGAAATGCAATTTTAAAATCTGCCTTTTATGATTATTGGGAAATCTATTTTACAATGTCTGGCTCTTTCAAGTTTGGGGTGGGGATGCTGCTGGATGGTAGCTTAAGTTTCACAAGTGTCCCAGTGGCAGAACTCAACACAGTTATGTTTTTTTTCTTTTATTTTTTCATCATAGGTAAAGCAAATGGTAGTGGCCACACTTGCTGAATCTGGCATGAATCTTTCAGACGATGTAATAGAAAGTATTATCGACAAGGTGAGCCTCTAGGCTGGTCAATTTTATTCAAATTGTATTTTGCTTCCTTGCTTGATTGAGGTTTATTACTTCTTCTCTTTAGTTTCAGTAAGTGAGCATTTTACTGCATGAATAATAGACTAGGGAACTTGTAATGACATTGATATTCTCTTCTTCTAAGCATTATAAATGACACATTCTTTTAGGATGGAGCACTTAAGAATGCTTCACTTCATGGCAACTTCTTAGATTTCTGAATGGCAAAGAATGAAAGTCGTATAATTGTGATATGAATATTTTATCCAATTTCTTGCATTTCTACTAAAAGTCATTATTCAAGAAAAACTAATTTGAAATTTCTACTCTGCTATTGGCTACTATGGAAATTGATTTTAAAGTAAGGTAGATAATACCACACTCTATGAATGTGTGGAAAAAAGTGAGGAAAATAGGGTAATTGGCACAAAACGTCTACATTTGGGGTTGATTTTGGAAACCGTCTATACCTTTTCATTTCTTGGCATCTATATTCTTACCTATCACTTTTCGTGTGCTGAACGTCATTTTTACCATATTTTGATCATTTTACCCTCCATTCAAATAAAATAAAAAGAAAAGAAAAACTAAAGAATTAATCGCAGTCATGCTCCCAAATTTTTTAA